CCATATTTCGTATAACTCTTCAAAAATCGTCCTATTTTACATTATATATACATAGCTACTTCTCAGGTGCCAAAAAGTGCCGGTACTTCTAGAGAGGCTGGAGACATGGGACAAAAGACATTAGACAAGGTTTTGCTTCTAGGGTCCCAGAAAAATCATTAATTCCACCCACCCTCCCCTCATTATTTCCCCCAACCCTCCCCCCCATTAATTCTACCCACCCTTCCTCTTCACCTCCACCCAAGATGCTTTGTAACCGTTTTTTACAAAATTGTGCTACATCTTATGGGGCTAATTTGCATTTATTTTTAATAGTACAAATATTGTATATAAATTTAATTCTAAAAGGGTGATAACAAGAAGTTAAAATTTGCTTTACAAAATTGTTTAATTTAATAAAATCAAGATTGTTTTAAGCGAATGTACGTACACATTTGCATATGTATCCTTTTCTCCATTTGGTGCAAAAGTACTTGTAAGCAAAACATAAGTGTACATTAAAATTCTTAACATTAACAAAAATTAATAAGATTATGTTATTTTATTACATTAAGCTTTTACTTATAGGCAGTTTTCAAAAAAACATTTAGGAACAAGAACTCGCTGACACTGATTTTTATGGGTGAAGCTTTTTTATTTTCATTTTAAATAAGAACAAAAACAAAACTAAAATTAAAAGTTCATCTGACAATCCGCATTTCTCAGGATTTGAACAAGAATCCTTTTGCATAGAAATCGTGCGCTGTACGCATTACACTAAATATATTTAGCATTACCTAATTATACATTCACGCACTTTATTCGTATGCTTACAGAAACCAAATATATATGTGCTTGGATTCAGATTAGTAACGCATTATTTCATGTGTGTCCAGTAATTGTCCTCCCAAAGTGCTTATTGTCATTTGTCATCTACAATTTTAACCGACATATTTCGAAGCGAGGTTCTAAAATAAATTACTTAAAAAATATAAGATCTAAATGGAGCTAATCATTTGTTTATTTATGTAGTTCTTAGCACTTTTCCAAAAATTTTTTGAAAAAAGTGCTTATTAGTTTCACTCTGTCCATCCGTCCGCTCGCCCGTCCGTCAGTTTTTCCGTGGACACTTTTTTGTATACAAAACTTCTACACCCTTGAAGATAGAAAGCTGAAATTTAATACGTACATAGATCTTTACTAGAAACTTATTTCCATAAAACAAAATTTTTACCTATCTCCCCCTTAGAAGTTATACGCCCCAAAACCCTAAGAATGGCCTTTTTTAACTATTTGTTGCAATGAAACCATAAACATTTTTGAAATTTTGCAAACGCATAAAGGCAGCGGCTTGCTTCCCCTGTAGTTAATAGTACAGTTAAACTTTAGAAAAACAAAATAGCGGTTCAAATTAACCGTTATCTAAAGTCCTTTTTTTCCAAATTTTTTATGTCGTTTTTCTTCTAGACCCCAGCCTGTAGAAGCTTGAAATTTTAGGGGCTTTTAGACATTAACAAATAGTTTATTTCGTTAGAAGAAACTTTTTTCCAACTCCACCCCCTCTCAAGTTATCGCCTCTTGAAATTTGTAAAATTTGAATTTTTGACACCTTATATTTCCGAAACCGCAAGCTTTTCCAAATTTTTATAAACGCAAAAAGCTAACGGTAAATTCCATGAAATTAAAAAATATAATTATTTTTCTTAACTCACACAATTAAACCTTTAAATCGAGCATTATATTAACCCCTTTTTATATTAATTTTTGCTTTATTTCAAAGACTGCATATATGCGTTATCCTGAATATATGCAATCCTAGAAATAGTTTTGTATATGAATGAAAATAATTTTAATAGTGTGATAGCTATACATAGACTGTATTTAAAAGCAGAATTTTCACTTGTTGAAGGGAAAAGTGCTACAATACAAACCATTGGTTTGACCCAACTTTATTCAATCTGTTCTGAAATTTGTTTATTAATTGTTACCTGATTGTTTATTAATTGTTATTTGTTTATTAATTTTTTATTAATTGTTATCTATGGGTCTTTTTCCGGTAGATGAATGAATAGTTTCATTATAAGTTTTAACTATTTGAATTATTGGGTCTACATCATTGGGAATACCCGGTTCTTTTTCTATAACTTCAAGAACCCTTAGGTGTTCGTTTAAGGTGTTATGAAAATGCTCGATGTCGGCATTACTACTTTTATTGTTTGGAGTAATAAAATGAATTTGTATACCCTCATTATCTAAAAAGTTTTTAAAATTTAAATTGGTAAAACCTTTTTCTCTATCAGTAACAATTTTTTCCAGTTTACCACAAGAGGAGATATACTGCATTAAAGCAGTTTTTAAATCATTCCAATTTCCTGAGCTTAAGGGGATTATTTGCGCATGTTTTGTAAATTTGTCAATTAAAATGAGATAATGTTTACCTTTTTTATGGAACCAAATATCCATGTTTACAATTTGTAGAGGTCTTTCAGTTGTTTCAGCAATTTTAAAGGGTAGTTTTAATGGATGTCGTTCATATTTCGCGATATTACAAAGATGACAGTTATTAATTATTTTTTGTGTTTCGATTTTTAATTTAGGATAATAAATTTCACTTTTGAGATTCAAATACACATCATTAATACCTCTATGGTTTGTTGTAGTGTGTTGGTTCATTATTCTTTCATGTAGTTCACTTCTATTTGACACATCTTTTAATAGTGACGAACATTTGTTTAATTTTAAATTTTTGAAAAATACTTTAAATAAGTTTTTTGAAAAGCATTATAAACTACAATATCGTCGATCATTACTCCCACGATTCCTTTAGTTGGAATGTGTTTTTTAAATACGTCCACAAAAAACTTTTCGTCTGGGTTTGTAGAAACGATTGTTTTTCTTGTTCTACCATTAATTTTTTTTATGTGCGACGAATTAGAGTTACCGGCACTAATAATAATTTGTGTTTTAAAAAAGTTTAGTGGGGAAAATGAAATTAGGATGTATTCAGAATTATCTTCATCAGCAGAATGTGTAGTGGCATCAGTTGATCGTATTTCATTGTCGTTTGAAATAGGAGAGTCATTATCTTTTGAATTCGAATTGAGTAGTGTACTTTCATTTAAAAGAATTTTTGCACGTGAAAGTGCGTCTGCCACTTTGTTTTCTTTACCACTCAGATATTCGATGTCAAAATTAAATTCTTCCAATTTAATTTTCCATCTTTGTAGCTTCGAGTTTGGTTCTTTTTAATTTTGAAGCCACTGAAGTGGTTTATGATCTGTCCTTATGGTAAATTTACGACCAAAGAGATATGGGCGGAAGTATTTCGTTGCCCAAATTATTGTCAACAATTCTTTTTCAATTGTAGAGTATTTACATTCGTGCTCATTTAGTGTGCGCGAAGCATAACATACAGGGTGATTATCCTGAGATAATACAGCACCTATAGCGAAATCACTGGCATCTGTTGTTAAGACGAATGTTTTGGAAAAATCAAGGTAAATGAGGACAGGATCAGTTGTAATTAGGAACTTTAACTTGTTAAATGCTTCTTTATAATCGTAATTAGTGACGTCAATGCGTTTTCCATTCTTTAAACAGAGTGTGAGTGGTTTGGCAATTTTGGCGAAATCTTTAATGAATTTTCTATAATATCCAACTAGACCTAAAAAGCTCTTAATTTGTTTTGGAGTTCTGGGTATTGGAAACCTATTAATTGCATCAATTTTATTTGGATTTGGTTTGATACCATTAGTAGTAATAATATGGCCAAGAAACTCAGTCTCTTGTTTGAAAAATTCACTTTTATCGAGCTGTATTTTAAGATTAGATGTTCTTCCAAACTTGTACTAAAGATAATAATGTCATCGAGATAAACAAAACAACATTTTCCAATGAATTCCTTTAGAACAGAATTCATGAGACGCTGAAAGGTTGCTGGAGCATTCTTAAGACCGAATGGCATCCGCAAAAACTCATAGTGACCACTTGTGATACTAAAAGCCGTCTTTTGTGTATCTTCTTTTGCTATCTCAATTTGATGGAAACCCTTTGCTAAATCTAGAGTAGTGAAGTACATTGAACGCCCAAGTTTTTCGAGAATATCATCCATATTTGGGATTGGATACTTGTCATCTATAGTAACATTATTAAGTTTCCTATAGTCAATGACGATTCTCCATTTTTGTTTCCCGAATGCATCCATCTTTTTTGGGACGACCCACAAAGGAGCCGAATAAGATGACTCACTATGTTTTATTATCCCTTGCTTTAGCATTTCTTCAATTTGTTCATTTACTTCTTTTCTATGAATTTCAGGGTACCTATAGGTTTTAGTATAGATGGGAATTTCGTTGACCGTATTGATTTTATGATTAATGTTATGAGTGAAAGATAAATTATCACCCTCATGATAAAAGGCCTTATCGAACTTTCTTAAAATTGTTAAAAGTTCCTTTTTTGTAATAGGGTCCAAATGATTACATCTGACATTAGTTTCGCCTGAGAAAATTTCATTTTGGAAAACGCTTAGTTTGTTAACTGGGACCGGAATATGGTATTCATTTTCTTCATTTTGATTGAAATATAGAGGAAATACATTACCTGTATTCAATTCTAAACTATTGTTTGTGTAATTAATTATGGCCCCTAATGGTTTTAGGATATTATTGCCTAATAAACCATCAAATTTATCGTGAAAATTTATTTCAAGGAAATTAAGTTTACTATCAGAATCAAACTCAATGAAAGCATCTATTGTTACTTTAGTATCGCAGATAAAAGTATTACATAAAGTTTTTATATTAAGTGGTTTAATTTTTGATTAATACATGGGGTTTCAAATTCCAGTATTAATGATGCTCATTGTAGCATCAGAATCCACAATAAATTTTAGTGGCCTTCCTTTGGATTGCAACTTTATATAAGGAAGTTCTCCCCCGAGGCAGTCAACTGAAAATTTTCAACTGGATTTATAGGCTCGTTTGAGCCTTGAAAATGTGCTCCAGAGATTTTTTGTTTTTCTATGGTGTTATTCTATGATTTGAGGTAGACGGATCAATATCCATGGGCTCAGATCGAGAATTTTGAAAATTAGCAGGTGAGTAATTTCGACTGTTCAGACCCCGATGATGTCTGGATTCAGAATAGCTGTTGCCACGACTATAATTATTACCACTATAATTACTATTACGATTAATGTTGTTAGTATAATTATTACTACGGTTAAAATTTCTATTATTACTACTGCGATCATTACGCATAAAATTATTATTATAACCGGTAATATTGTTGTTATTATTACCAGTAGTATTGCTATTATTACGTGTGTAAGTATTGGTATTATTATTTCTATAACTATTAAAATTATTAAAATTTTTCTTATTTTGATTAGAGGAATTAGTATTAGTTTTATTAAAATTATAGGAATTTCTAAAGGGATTATATTCAGCATAACTCCCCTCATACAATATGTCTATTGCCTCCTCCAAAGAACTAGGATTACGGCTAAATATTATAGAACGCATTGGTTCCACAAGTTTTTCTTTCAAAATTCGTAAGCCCGTTAGAATATTGGCTTGAATTATGGCAGGTGCATTAGGTAGGTCCTTTACTTTATTATTCAACCGACGTAAAATGTGCTTAATCCGGTTGTATAAGTCAACAGGTGAACTAGTAAATTTTACACATTGCAATTCCTCATAGATTTACAATGTCGTTTTCTTTTCACCAAAATTATTGATTAAAATTGTTTTTATTTCAGACCAGATTGAAACGCGGTTATTTATTTCCACTATTTCCCTCGCTTTACCTACTAGCTTAGATTTAATTTTATTTAAAAGTATTATTTGACATTTTCGTCATATTTACTAACTATTGGGATTACATTTTCAACTAAACCTATAAAATTAAATAATTCGTGCGATTTACCACCAAACTCCGGAAATTCTGAAATGTATTTCATCGGGTCCAGGGAAAGCGATAGTTTTGGGGCTTGTGCAGCAGGTTAAGCAGCTGATGAGGATTGCCCGGATGATGTATTTGATTGTGCCATTGTGGTTTTCCTTTTTGTTTCACAGATATTATTTTTTTTCACAGCAAATAAAAATACCTTATTGCTTTTTATTTATTATAGCAAAATTATTGATAGTTTGTATAATATAATAATATTTCAATAGTTATATAATAATATTTCAATGATTAAAATTTTTTTATGATTTTATTGTATTAATTTCAGTTTTTAATGTTTAATGTTCACAAGGAAGTTTTTTTTTCTTTCTTTGTTTTACTTTTTTGTTATTATAATATTGAAAATATTAAATTATTCAAATTAATTTCTAATTCAAATTTAGTCAGAATATTATTGTTTGTTTTTCAAATTAATTTTACAGATAGCACATAAAATTAATTTTTCCTTTTGAGTTCACTTTTATTCACTAGGTGTTTCAACTTTACTTTTTTTTTCTTTCAGCCTTTTTGTTTTTAAAATCCTACCGGAACTGCGCCACTTATATGTTCAAGGGTAACTTTGATCATAAAACTGAATTAAACACCTTTTATTTTCAATTTTTGGTCGATTCGACCGATTGCTTTATTGGTAACAAATGAACTGAACTTTTATTAATTTTACAAAATACAAAAATGTTCTTAAAATTACTAAAATAATATTAAAAAAAAATCTTTTTTTCTAATTTGGGACACATTACAAAATTATCATTAAATTTGCTTATCTTATAATTACTTACAATAATTTCTAAAATAATCGATTTGAAATTCTCAATATGCAAGCCACATGTTTATTACAAAATTACCATTATACCATATTAACGTTATAATAATAAGTTAAACGAAATTAAATGAAAAATGCAACATAAACATTTTTAAGTGGGTCGTTCGTTCACACTATGTTTTAATAAAAACATAGGTCAGTTTAGTTAAGTTAAAATTACAATTGGTTTTATTTGTTTTGAAATATGATAAGTACAAAAAATTTACGACAAAAAAAGAATTTATGAAAATAAAAGAGAAAAATTAAAAAGAATAAGTGTCGTTTGTTTTGCTTAATTTATTGTATTGAAATAATATTTTAGTTGATTATTTCAAGAGGAAAATCTTTTAGAATATTATCATCATTTGATGTCGATGATATATAATATTAATTTTTGCTTTATTTGAAAGACTGCATAAATCGTTCGTCTTAAATATAGTATATGGATTATGTATATAGTGTATAGGATATGAATATGCATGATATAGTTTTGTATATGGATGAAAATAATTTTAATAGTGTGATAGGTATACATAAACTGTATTTAAAAGCAGAATTTTCACTTGTTGAAGGGAAAAGTGCTACAATACAAACCATTGGTTTGACCCAACTTTATTTATAATTATTTTTAAGAGCATGTGTGTTATTAGTGTCTTTTTAAACAAAAATAAAGTAAACTTAAAATATCTTAAATACATAATGGAACATAAGTTCTAAACTACAGACATAGTACTTGAAATGCTTGCATTGCGAGCACACGCGAGTAGTTGTTATATAAAGATGCTTCCGAGGTGGGAAAATGTATGGGTACTTCTAGAATTGGTTTTCGACAAAAGATCCCAGAAAAATCTGACATTAGAACTTTTTAGTTCCGAAACAGCTTTGTTTTAAGATTTTTTGTGAAAATTTTTGTATAACAAAAACACGTTTTTCTTTTATACTTTATATTATCAGAAACACAAATCAAAAAATCTGGTGTTGTCTCAGCAATTAAACAATGAATTTATTAATTCATTGTTTAAACACCCCAAATTTAAATATTAAATTTAAAGCAAATTGGTTATTTATTTCTCTTTATATACGCAAAAATGTAACCAAGTTCTGATATATCATAAAAGTTGATCAATCCGTGCCATAGATAAAATAAACTTACATTTAATATTTCATCAAAATCGGTTCAGCTGAACTTGAGATACAATATAGAACACAGACCGACAGACTGATATCTCTCTAAAAGTAGCTTATTTACGCTTCCCTACTATGGAGAACTGCGTTTCTACCGACAGCTCGACATTCAATAGCTAGTGCCATCGTAGTTCTAATATTTTTTGAATAATTTATTTTGGAAACTCGTTTTGAGTTATATCTATTCAAATCGTAAAATACTGTTGGCAATAATTACATTAAGCGATCAATTACTATAAAGGAATGTGTAATTGCGTTATACTAATAATACAATATTGGTGAATGTGTGATTACGTACTACTAATAATATATAAGGTAGTACGTATAGCATACGATTTTTATGCAAAAAGTTGTAAGATCGAACCCGGAAAAATGCGAAATATCAGATGAACTTTTTTTATTGATAATTTTAATTTTTTGTTGTTTTTGTTCAAAATGAAGTTAAACGAGAAAAATTGGAGTTGACCTTGTCACCCATACGAATTTGTTATCCTATGTGCGAATAAATATGCCATAACTGACTATGGGAAAGACTATGACTTTAAGTTGACGTACTACCATATTAATTTATGCAAAATTTCAGTACTGCGTTTTTCAAAATACTGTGTGTGCCAAACTCCTATTGAAGTTGTATGGCAGCTATCAGAAAGAGCCAAGTAATTTCAAAGACTTTTATGAGACACATTGGCCCTACTAATATATTCGTTTGTGTGAAATTTCAATAGCACAGCTTTTTTAGTTTCAGTGATATAGCCAAATAAATTTTGTAGTTGTATGGCAGCTACTCAAACTGGTACCCGATCATGTCCAATTTGAATAGAGTTCTGGTACTTACTATAATAAATCATTTGTGAAAATTTGGTTAACTTAGCTCAATTAGTTTTTGAGTTATCGCTGGGACGGACAGACGGACGGGCGGACGAACAGACAAAACTAAATCAACTTAGAATTCGACGCTAATCAAAAACATACACTTGAGTCTATATCTAAGACTGTTATTTCTTAGCGTTACAAACGGTAGGGCAAATTTATAATACCCTTCGAACATACGTTCGTACAGGTATAAAAAGCTTTACCCGTACAAATCAATATTAGCGGGTTTCCGCCGCTAAGTATTTCAAATTCATTTTATAAATATGTATTTATGAAATTTCAAAAAATTAAAATAAGCGGTAACCCTAATAGAGTAAACAATAGATCAAAACAATAAACAGCTGATTCGATGTATTTTTATTTTTGATATAGTTTAAGTTTTGTAAGAGTCTAGTTTTGTCCCATTTACAATTTGTGTTAATTTATTTTATTTATTTATTACCGACCGTATTGTGTAAACAAAAGGTAGGTTATGTGATGGCAACAAATTTTGCATATCGAGTTTTCGGTGGGAATGCACTTCTCCATAGTGGGGAAGTGTAAGTAAACCTTTTTTAGCAAACTGTTGGTCCGTCAGTCTGTCGGTCTGTTGGTCTGTCGGTCTGTCGGTCTGTGTGTGCACGCGTGTATCTCAAGTTCTGCTGAACCGATTTTGATGAAATTTTATATGTAAGTTTTTTTCCACCATGGCACAGATTGATCAACTTTTGGAATATATCAGGCCTCGGGAACTGCACTTTTTAGCGGGTCCGTTTTACATTTTTGAACATTTTGAAGAAAGTATTTAACCGATTTACTTGAAATTTAATATATAAGGTTTTCTCGACTGTCCGTGAAAATTGCTAACTTTTGGAAGAAATCAGGCATCGGCAACTAGGCGTTCACTACGGGCCAAATATTCATTTTTGTGTATAAAAAGAGAAATAACCAACCGATTTGATTGAAATTTAATATATGAATTCCTCGTATCAAAACAATGAACATATAAATTTTTTGGAAAGATCAGGGCTCGAAAACTGATTTGCGGGCCGATTTTACATTTTTCACCATATCTACGGAACGAATTGATGGGATCTCATGAAATTTGATATTTGAGTTCTGGGCATTACCAAAACGAAACTGTACTAAGAGCCAAATTTACATTTTTCTATAGATATGTTAACTATAAATTTACAAATGTCCCTAAAATTGGAAAGAAGTACTTAACAGACATTTTTTTAATATTCTGTAACACTTTCACTCAACTAGACGATACACAATGCGGTCGGTTATGTGCTGACCACATCAGATTTTTTATTTATATGTTATTTATTAAAAAAGAATAACTGACGTAAATTATTGAATTAATCTTAACGTAAATAAATGTCAGCTTCCATCAAAGACATCAGATGTTTTGTGGCATCTGAATATTAATGCTTCATTTGTTATTGTTTTGAATATTATGTTTCGTCAGCAAGCTTTAAAAAAATATACATACAGAATATATGTACGTATGTAGTTAGAATTTTATTTTTATTGTTCCAAGCGAAAAACTGTAAAATGTTAAATTTCGCTTGGAACAATACTTATGTACATATATTTGAATAAAATTATTATTTTATTTATGCCTAAACCTTTTCTTTATTTGAAAAATTTATTTCTATATGTTCACCTGCAGTTTTAAAAAAATAGGTGTACATTCATAACATACATAATGTTTGTGCTTAAAATTTTATTTCTAACTTTTTGAACAAAAAATTTTAAAATATATATCATATATTTGAATAAAAATATTATTTTATTCATGCCTAAACCTGTTCTTTATTTAAAAAACTTATTTCTGAATGTTACCCCCATGATCTTATAATTATGTGTTTCTATATGCCAAATCACAAATAACAGATTACATGTACGCACATGTTTATGTACACGTACATAAAATTTTTGCGAATTTTTCCAAACTTTTATAGCAATATCTTTTTGGAAATTTTCTTTAAACTTTTATAATAATATTTATCTGTTATATATTAAAAAAAATAAAACAAAAAATTTAAACAAAATGAAAAAATTTTTTTTTTTAAATAATCCAAAAAAGAAAAATACGACAACATCCAGGCAAGCATCGATCAAATAATCTTCTGGCTATCAGACTACAACAGTACCTTCAATTTTCCTTCATAATTCTATATTTTATTCGTATTTCGTATAACTCTTTAAAAATCAACCTATTTTACTTTATATATATATATAGCTTCTTCTCAGGTACCAAAAAGTACGGGTACTTCTAGAAGGGCTAGAGACATGGGACAAAAGGCATTAGATAGGGTTTTGCCTCTAGGGTCCCAGAAAAAGCAAGAGTTCCACCTGCCCTCCACCTTCATCCCCTCCCAAGATGCTCTATGACCGTTTTTTACAAAATGGTATTACATCCTGTAGAGATAATTTTTTATTTACTTGTGGTGGTATAAATATTATACGTAAATTCATATTTGTAAGTGTGAGTTTTAATAAAAAGTGATCACTTTCATAAGAAAATTGTAAAGTTTTAATAAAATCTATATAGTTTTATAATAAGTATGTACGTACGCATTTAGTTATGTATTATTTTCGCAATCTGCTGCAAAATGTATTAGTATGCAAAACATAAGTGTACATTAAACCTCTTGACAATACATTTTTAAGAAAAAATTTTATAAGAAATGTTATTCTATTGCATCAAACTTCTTACAAATAGGGTATTTTCAAAAAAATATTTGGAATGGAAACCCGCTGAATAGCATTTTTAAGGGTTCGAACCTTGGACTTTTTGTATAGAAATCGTATGCTATAAGCATTTCCCTATATAGTATTAGTGTTAACTAATTGTACATTCACGCGTTTTATTCACCTGCATTAATACGTGTTTTGTTCGCCTATGCTATTACATACGTGCACGCATTTTAGTAGCGAATTATTTTATACGTATACAGTAATTTATCGCTTAAAATGCTTATTGTCGAAGGTATTTTACGATTTTATGCGATGCAACTCAAAGGAAAGTTCTAAAATAAATTCCTAAAAAGATATTAGATCTCAAAGGAGCTAATTATTTGTTTAATTATGTATCTTTTTGTAATTATTTTTAAGAACATTTCTTATTTTAAGTTTTTTTTATTAAGAAAAAAACGTACCTATATGCATCTAACGGGTGTGTTTTTGAAGAAAAAAGTAAACTTAAAATATCCCACACAGAATGGAACACAATTTCAAAACTACAGACATAATACTTGCAAAGTTTGCAATGCAAGCACACACGAATAGTATGAAAATAAAGTAACACTCAAAAAAGTTTTTTTTATGTTTCGTTGGCTGAGAAATAAAACAGTGTATTAAAAAAAGGTATAGTTTTGGGTAAATCGTGTTTAAAGTTTTTTGCAAAATTAAAATGAAGTTTCGAATTTAAAATCTTCCCGTAGTCATCTTTGACTATCATGAAAAGTTATGTCAAACATTTTTGGGGAAATAAATAGTTTATTTCCATAAATTTGTACAGATCTTAGAAAATTAGAGGTTTGAAATTTCTTGGTACTTCTTACACTATTTTATTTTTGGCAGAAATTGTATATAAAACGATTGCACACTGTTTTGTTTTAATTTTTTTGTATGGTATACACCATTTCATTTTTATACCCTGCACTTCGTGAAGGGTATATTAACTTTGGTATGGAGTTTGTAATACTTGAAGGAGTCATCTGCGGTATGGACATTATATATATATTCTTGCTCAGCGTAAAATTCTGCGCCGATTTAGACATGTCAGTCTGTCTGTCCGTCCGTCCGTCCGTCCGATCGCACGATAACTCAAAAACAAATAATGCAATCGACACCAAACTTTCACAAGCTTTTTCTTTTGTGCCAAGGACGAGCCCTATTGTTATTGGACTGATTCGGACAACGGGTTCGGGTATACAACTCAAAGAGTTTATTTTAAATATTTCAAAAACTAATAAAGCTATAAATATAAAATTTTGTATACATGTGTCCAGCAATGGGATAGCTGCACCGGTTCGGGTGGCTGCCATACAACTTCAACAGCAAATTTTCTATATTCGGAAAAATAATAAAATCAGATTCATGAAACTTGGCAGTCATGTGTCCAATTATAGGTCAAATATATTTCTGAAGTTTTAGAGGAATTGCTTGACAGGTTCGGGTACCTGCCATACAACTCCAGAAGCTAATTTTAAATATTTCGAAAAATAATAAAGTCAGATTCATGAAACTTGGTAGTCGGATGTCCAATTATAGGTCAGACATATCCGTGAAGTTTCTATAGACTAATTTCACAGGTTCGAGTAATTGCTATACAAAAACGAAAAGTGCAGGGTATAATTCAATCGGTTTATACCGAGTGAAACGTTTTTACTTGTTATATTTTATTTTGTAAAAAATTAATATTTGTAATATTATAAAATAATAATACTTTAACTCATATATGAAAATATAAACAGGTATTTTCATGGATATTAATGTAACATAAAAAGTCGTAAACAAAAATAAATAATATTAACATAAAAAACAATTCATGTATATTATTTGTACTTGAAATTTACTTTTAAAAATTTATTATAGCTCATCAATCTCGTCTTCTGAGTAGTTTGGTTCGTCTAATTTAGATAAATTATTTTTTAATAAGGCTCTTTCTGCCTAGTTTTGATAAAATGCTACTGAATGCTTCTAACTAAGATTGATCGATCATATTTTCATATTGCGCGCATGAAAGGAGTAGTTAAATTTTGTATTAAAGATTCTTCTATATGTATACTAGCCAACTTTGTTTGCTCGATTCGTTTCTTTATAAAGATCGTGCATTTTATAATGTTTAAGTTACTTATAAAATAATTTTTTTTTTGTGCTTTTTCTAATATAGTGCAATATAGCTTTTTCTATATACGCTGTACGATTGATTCTTCAAGCTCACTATCAATTTTTCTTGCATTAGATTTTGAAAAAAAAATATTTTTCCGACTAGTAAATTCTTTTTTTTCTTCTTTTTTAAAGCATTATTGCGGGCATCTGAATGGTTTAAAGTGGGAAGGTAAAATTTTTTGCAAAACGGTTTCACCATACAATGTATAACAAAGCGTAAAATTTCTTCGAGACATTCGCGGTAGTTTTCTTGTATATACTTTGTGTGTGTCAGTATGTTTTATAAATAATCGTTGCTTTCCATAATCACTCAGATATCAATACGAATTATTACTATTAATTTTTGCATCTTAAGGAAATTTTTCAACGCAATTGTGTCGGCAGTTGCAAATACATGGTGTCGTAGCTTGCGAATTCATCAATTTACCACTTTCACATATGTATTCTTGACCAGAATTCCGTTTTAACATTCTTTCGCTTTGAATCCATTTCTTTTAATTTTTTATTGCTTTTTTACATTTTCACAACTTTTCGGGAAGTGTCAACGCCATTATCAAACCTTTCATCCATAAAACATTCTGTAAGTTTTTCTGCTTCTGCTTTAACCATTTTAGATGCTGATCTCTTGCCAGGTTCATAATTGTCATCAGAATCAGAAGAAAAGTCTGTAATAGAATTCTCTAGTGACTGCTCGAAAAATGTTATCACTTCTTCATCATCAAAATTTTTATTCATTTTTTACAACGTGCTCTTAATATATCGTCAAGAGCACGTTGTTAAATTTATGGAGTGTTTTTTAAGCCAAATAATAATCTTGTAAATTCATATTTATCACTGGCGAGCATTTCTGGGGAATCAGGTAACGCAAAGCGAAACTCTACTAAGAGCAAAATTTACATTTTTCTAGGTATGTTAACTATAAGCTTACTAATGTCCTAAAAATTGGAAAGAAGTATTTAACAGACATTTTAATTAATTTTTTCTTAAAATTTTTGGTGTAGTCTAGTGTAGGACAAATAAAACAATGTTCTTTAACTTTTCACCAACGCAATTTTATATGATAATAATATAAATGATATAATATAAATGATATAATGTTTTAACAATATGTAATACATTTCTTGTATGTATACTTACATTAAGTTATTGAACAAATTTTAATTTGATTTTAACATAATTTACTAACTAAATAGCTAATAAATGAATTAAATAAATTTTTTTTTAAAATCATCAGTTATTCTTTTTAATAAATGACATATAAATAAATAAAATAAATTAACACAAATTGTAAATGGAACAAAACTTGACTCTTACCAAACTTAAACTATAATAAAAACGAGAAAAAATAGAGTTGACCTTGTCAACTCTGTGATACCCGTACGAATTTGTTATCCTATGTGCGAATAAAGATGCCGTAACCGACTATGGGACAGACTATGACTTTAAGTTGACGTATTACCATATTAATAAATGCAAAATTTCAGTACTATATGTTTTTCAAAATACTATGTGTGCCAAACTACTATTGAAGTTGTGTGGCAGCTATCAGAAAGAGCCAAGAAATTATAACGAATTTTATCAAGCATATCGGCCCTACTAATATATTTGCTTGCGTGAAATTTCAATACCACAGCTTTTATAGTTTTTGAGATATAACCAAATAACTTTTGCAGTTGTACGAAAGCTACCATAAGGAGCCAAGAAATTATAACGAATTTTATAAAGCACATCGGCCACGCAGCAATTTCAATACCACAGCTTTTATAGTTTCTGAGATATAGGCAAATAACTTTTGAAGTTGTACGACAGCTACCAGAAGGAACTGAGCAATTTCAACCGCTTTTATCAAACATATTTGCCCTACTAATATATTGGCTTGTGTGAAATTTCAATGCCATAGCTTTTATAGTTTCTGAGATAAAGGCAAATAACTTTCGAAGTTGTATGGCAGGTACCAAAAGGAGCCAAGTCATTTCAATGACTTTTGTTAGACATATTGGCCCTACTAATATATTCGTTTGTGTGAAATTTCAAAACCACAGCTTTTACAATTTCTGAGTTACAGCCAAAAAAATTTTGAAGTTGTATGCCAGCTACCCAAACCGGTGCCCCGATTATGTCCAATTTAAATAGGGTTCTGGCACTTACTACAATAAATCATTTTTGAAAATTTGGTGAACTTAGCTCAATTACTTTTTGAGTTATCGTTGGGACGGACGGACGGACAGACAAAGCTAAATCAACTCAGAATTTGACGCTGATCAAAAACATATACTTGAGTCTATATCTAAGACCGTTATTTCTTAGCGTTACAAAAGGTAAGGCAAATCTAGTATACCCTTCGAACACACGTTCGTACGGGTATAATAAAAGTATCATGAATCAGCTGTCTATTGTTTTGATCTGTTGTTTACTCTATTGGGATTACTGATTCTTTTATTTTTTATTAATTTTTAAATTTCATAATTACTGATTTTTAAAATGAATTAAGTTATTTTTATCTGTTTTGTCATTTATGTTGTTTGGGTTTAATTCTATATGTATCGTTTCACTTATATTCTTCTTATAACAATTTTTCTCTCTGTCTCTTATTTGTGTTTCCATGAAATTAGAAGTGTGATTATGGTTAAAATGATGTTGTTCTATTGCTGTTTTATCTGTTTTATTAATGTTTTGTATTTTGCAATCATATTTATGTTGATATAATCTATTTTTAAGATATTGTTGTGTTTGTCCTATATAGCACGCTTCACACTCTTGGCAATTTATTTTATATATTAAGTGTGATTGATTCATTTTGTCTTCTTTGTCTTTAAGTTTTGGGTAAAGTTTGTGTACTACTTTTTTGTTGTAGAAAATGAATTTTGTGTTTTGCATATATGGTTTAAAGACATTTTTGATTTTGTACGTTATTTCAGAAATATGTTGAAATTTTAAAAATTTGGTATTGTGTTAATTTGTCGAGAATGTTTCTTGCTTTTATTGTCCGTGTTTTTATATTACCTAACATATTTCTTACTACTATTTTATCCAACATATTTCTTACTACATTTCTTTTTTTCTGAACTTGATGTTGCGACAGAAATTTTGATATTCTGCCGGAAGCACAAGTTTTCAAGTACCTATCTCTGGAGATCGTTCCATCATTATTTCTTATTTGTTGGGAAAAGTATTTAAAACGACGATTTCTTACAGCGTGAATTGACGCTATACGAATTTAAAATATAGGGACAATTTACTCCCACTTATAAAACATGACTGAAGCGACCTTGCCTGCTTTTAAAGGCTTGAATACTAATAAGTCCGCATTTAGCAATGTAGCTAGTCCAGTTAAATTTAATTTCAACGTCCAGTTAAATTTACGGAAACAAAATCAATGCTTAATATGCTTTTTATGTTTTCCATAGGATGGCATGCAAATAAGAGAAGCATACTTAAGATGAGGACGAACCAATAGAGTAACTAAGTTTTTAAATGTATATGAATCTGAAAAATGTGCAGAGTTCTTCTTTATAATGTTCAATGTTCTTTATAATGTTCTGTTTGAGGATTAAAAGTAAGCCCGGTATCAATAATTACCCCACACCCGTAATTTCGTCGACAACGTTTAAAACAGAACTGTTCACCTTATAGTTGAATCGATTATTTATTTTATAGAATTTCATGACTTTGCATTTCTTAATATTTAAAATGGAAGCATTGGATAAGAACATATTGGTAAAATTTGTTGTGCAACTCCGGCAATAATTTAAAGCCTTCCAGATCAAAATGGTCTTTAAATTTTATAATAAGTGTAATAAAAAATGAAATTAATGAAAGAATTAACAACGTAACAAAAATAATAAATTATATTGCACAATTGTCAAATAAAACATTAGAAACTTATGTAGAAAATCTGTTTGAAATAAAATACAAAAAGCAATTAATAAAAGTAGAATTACAAAATGTAAAGTATGCCATGCGTTAAAGTAAAGTAAATGTAATAAATTTACTTGTATTAAGTAATAAAGAAATTAAAATTACAAAGATATCTTACAAAAACAAAATTTTCCTTCTAGATCATGGATGTCAAGACTTTTGAAACTATGGGCCAATTTCCAATATTCTGTATGACAAAAGGGCCACAAAATAAAACAATTAATTCAATTTTTAAGGTGTATAAACGTTTATTTATTTTTTATTAGAAGTACTGGGAGCTGAGTGACACTGCTTCTGTTGAACAAGTCTTAAAATATTTGGTTGCATATTTGTAGTAGCCAATTGGGTTGCATATTTGTAGTTGTAATATTTTAACAATTCGTTTTAGAGGGCCGCACCAAAATAAGAAAATGGCCGCATGCGGCCCACGGGCCGCACTTTTGACATCCTTGTTCTAGATCAATTGAGGAAGCTTTAAACTTCTAAGAAGTTAAAGCAATTACTAATTCGACCTTAACTTTTTATTTATTAAATATATGTACCATTAACTGATCATGTAAAATATGATAAAATATTACTAAAACCAATTGAAGAAAATAATGTAACAATAGAAATACCTTTTCCAAAAATACTAAAATGTAGAAAAAAATATAAAATAAAATCAAAATTATAAAATAAACAATGAAATTTCAAAGAGATATAGTAAAATTAACAAAATGAATGTATTATAAATATTTAAGATAGTGTAAAATCTGTCTGTAAAATAATTTATAATCATCATACGCTGACAGTACAAGAAATAGCTCCGGGAATAATTTTATTGAATAACTATATAGGTAATATATAATATAGAAAAAAATGTCATCATTTAAACAGCACATTTTTAATTAAATTTCATAATTTAACGGTTAAAATCAAATAAAAATATTTTACTTCATTAGATATTACAAGTTATAGATTATTATAATTTCCCACTTTTGCAATTACCACCACACAAAACCTATAAAACAAAAGGATTATCTTTAGAAATGATGAAAGAAGTTCATCTAAAAAAAAATCTGATGCAGTTAGCACATAACCTACCAAAATGTGTATTGTTTAGTTAAGTGAAAGTATTACACATTATAAAAATGCCTGTTGAATACTTCTTTCCAATTTTTAGGATATTAGTAAGCTTATAGTAAATTTGGCTATTAGGAGTCTAGTCGCCAGTTAAACTACTTTTAGGAAGCTGTCGGTCTGTCCGCCTGTGTGTGCACGCCTGTATTTCAAATTTGGCTGAACCGATTTTGATGAAATTTTATATGTTATTTTATTTCGACTATGACACGGATTGGTCAACTTTTGGGATATATCAGGTTTCGGAAACTGCACTTTTTAGCGGGCCTGTTTTACATTTTTGACAATTTTGAAGAAAATATTCAACCGGTTTACTTGAAATTTAATATATAAGCTTTGCTCGACCGTCCGTGAAATTCCTAATTTTAGAAGAAATCAACTGGTCGTTTACCACGGCAACTGGTCGTTTACTACAGCCCAAATACACATTTTTGTGTATATAAAGAGAAATAATAACCCGATTTCATTGAAATTTAATGCTTAAATTCTTCGTGACTAGAACAATGAACATATATTTTTTTTGGAAAGATCAGGACTCGAAAACTGATCTGGTGGCCGTTTTTACCTTTTTCACCATATCTACGGAACGAATTGATAGAATTTCTTGAAATTCGATATTTGAGTCTGGTTGGTACCGAAACAATCTGGCGAGCATTTCAGGGAATTCGGATAGTATAAAGCGAAACTCTACTAAGAGC